CTGTGGCTGCCCTCATGTTGTTCAAAACTCAAGTGAAAGAAAGGTATCCTTGGAGTTCAAATACGTGACCAGAAAGGTATGAGGTGGGCATGGCATATTTGGGCAAATGTAGTCCTCCAGTGGATTCCATAGTTAGCTCTGATTCAGTGTAGGCCTTCCACATGTGGGCCTGGCAGTTCTCTACAGTGAACTGAACACACACACACACACACACACACACACACACACACACACACACACACACACCCCACAATGACACCTGAGATATAACAGTTCAAAGGCATGGATGCCCCATCAATTTTAAACTTAATTTGAATGTATCTTACTGCTTTCTTTGGTTTCAGTTTTTTTTTATTTGAGTTGCATTAACAAACAATAAGTTTAAAAAAATAGTGAAGTTCATTTTAATAAGGTGTCAGGACACACCGGCCTCTTCCAGAACATCAGAGACTGCAATCAGTGGTGGGCTCCGATCCTTGAAGGATGCGTCTCTCTTTAACTAATGCTTTGGGTTTTCATTTCCCCCCTCTTTGGATCAGACTACTTTGCAGAGTTTTTCTTCCCTTGCCCGTGATGTCGAAACTGCAGACAGATTATGAGCTCGTCACTTACTTTGCAGCTTACTTTAAAACAGGTACTAGCCCCCCCAGTGACCGAAGCTGAGCTAGTTAAATGCAAACAGCAGAATGGAGGTGGGCAAACCAAACAGCACCTGTGGATAGAGCAACTACTGGCAGAAGATATTTCTGCAGCCTCTGTTTATGTGGTAGACTTGGTCCTGGGCTAGGCTGCAAATCCCCGAGACCTGAGTCTGTGTGCTACCGAAGGCTTGAACTGGCCTTCCTCAGGACAGTCAACTACAGGGAAGGGTCTGTAGAAGGACGAATTAAAACAGGGTGTGATCAATGAAAGTTATCCCCACTGGCCAACACAAGTGCATGTGTGCACATACTTTGGCCTTTGACCTTTACTGCATGGACAACTCTGAATTAATTGTGTTCTCCCACTTGAAAGAATTATAGTATTTTTAAAACAGACACGGAAACTAGGAATGTATCTCAGTTAGTAGGGTACTTGCCTAGCATTCCCGAGGCCCTGGATTCTGCCTCCAGCATTGCATAAAATAGGCTTGATGGAACAGCACTTAGGAGGTAGAAGCTGGAGGATCAGAAGTTTAAGTTCATCCTTAGCTCCATAGAGACTTCAAGGCCAACCTGGAGACTTTATCTAAATAAACAAACACCCCAAATCAACAAAACCAAGTGCAGCCCAGTTGCCCTAGAGCTGCAGAGCAGTGGAACCCTCTCCCTGTGCCCAATCAGTGAGCTCCAAGAAGAGTAATGGGACAAGCTCTACATGTAGCCAAAGTAGTTTGCCAGCTTGAAGGGGAATCACCTGGGCAGGCAATTTCTTGAAACTGCTGGATAGATACCCTCTGTCACAGGCCCCGCTGAACATTGGTCCCAAAGTACAGATGGGGACTGACGGTCCCATGGGGCTGGTAAAGATGGCCCTGTAAGAAAGGACTTCACCTCCCTTCCCTTTGGCACTAAGAATGGTAAACACCAGCACCTTCGGTCCTTGGCCTCCCAAGAATGGCCTCACCCAGCCCCCTTTGCTAGGCAGTGAATTCCAATCATCGTCTTCATTGTATTCTAAACCTAAAGAAAACAAGGCATCATGCCCAGCAGCTCGTCCATAAAACATTAATCACTGTCCCCTCCTTGAGAAGCCTCTGACCAACGAAGGTATGCTCTACAGGAGCCATGGAAAAATCCTAATGGCCCCACACATGGCCTGGCCACATAGAGGGTGGGGGCCTGGCACCAGTTCCTCCAGTGCTTTTCCAGCTGGGCTTCTAGCTTTGGCTCCAAGGATGTTGAGGACCAGCCTGGGAGCTCCAAAGAAAAAGAACCCTCCAGACATCTATGAAATTCCCCAAAGGTATTGTGGTCCTTAGGGTCAAGTGGCAAGTGGATGCCTTAAACCACCACTCTTTCCACCGGAGCTTTGAGCCCATAGGGAACAGTGCCAGGACCACAAGGCCAGTATCATGCGTCACATTAACCAGCGGGTGATCTAGCCCAGAGTACCTGCATAGGCCCATCCTCTTACAGACCTCGCCAGCACCCAGACCACAGAATCCCTGATTCTGATGGAGAATTTGAGCTACTAAAAGAAGAAATATGGAGCTGGGGAGATGGCGTAGTGGGTAAAAGCACTCACCATACAAAGCATGATAACTTGAATTCAGATCCTCAGAATCCACACACAAAATAATTTAAAAATAAAAATAAAAATAAATTAATGCAGTAATATCTGTAAACTCAGCATGTCCCTACAGGAAGATGGAAGCAGAGACAGAATAATCTCCAGATGTGTCACAGCCACTTAGCCTGGCACAAAGACACTCTGCCTCAAACAAGGCAGAAAGGCAAGTACTGATACCTGAAGGCTGTCTTCAGACCTTCACACCCACATACATGAACAATGAACAAACACACCCATACACACACATACATTCACACCTCTCTCTCTCTCTCTCTCTCTCTCTCTCTCTCTCTCTCTCTCACACACACACACACACACACACACACACACACACACATCTGTAGAGATTCCAGACTTCTACATGTTTAGAAACAAAAGAAGATTCACCCAACACTAATCCAACCTCCTGCTGACAAGACCTGAACACAGGACTCTGGCTGGTGCTCCCTGTAAAGGGGTTTGGAAAAGCTTCTAATCTGTACCAGGTCTGATCAGGGGCCTCCGGTGGGGTGTGACAATTGTAGTGTTTCAGCATTTTGCTCTTGTGAGTTTAATGGAAAGACAAATATTCTAGGATTCAGTGGCTGCTGGAACACATCCTGCTTCCTTGTAGGCCAGGTGCAGATGGCATGAATCATCCTCAGATTAATCTGTGGATAGTTTTGATAGGGGTGGGTGACCTGTAGTCTAATCTCAGCAAGGACACAATCTAGAGGTCAGTGACAGGTGCCCCCACCAAGCCACCTCACGTGCTAGTCACCAGACCATTCAGGAGCCTGGGGACAAAGGTTGAGTCCTGGAGGCTTTCAGGAAATGTGCTGCCTGTGTTAAAATCTGATGAACAAAACAGACAAGGGCCTCTGCTTACTCAAGAAGTCCCATCCCATCCCAGTTATTTCCCAAACCCACTCGTCTGTGCTGGGCCAAGTAGAACATGAACAGAACAAAGCCTGCAGATCCCAGGGAGAGGGATACCTGGAGCACTAATCCCATGGGCTACAGGCAGAGTCTGGGACAGCCTGGCCCCAAAGCTATTGCACCCAAACCTACTGGGTATTGAAGATCTGTCTTGGTGCATTATTATCCCTCATGGTGCAGCATTGGCCTTCTCCTGTTCATGTACTCTATGAGCAAGTTGATCATATTCCCTTCCATTCAGGAATAGGTACAGTTTCAGGGAAGTATCCTCAGTCTGGTGTTATCTTAAGCCATCACCACATGAGTCTATCTAGAAAGAGCAGGCTTCTCAGGGTGTTGGGGGCTCCAGGGCCAGCCCTTTTCCCTCCTGCCTCCCCATTACCCTGTAGGAGTGGATGCAGCTGCAGCTCATCCTGTCTTCTCTGCTGGCCCAGAGCTAACTCTACAAAGCATCACAACAAAACAGGTCAGCATCACATGATGGAGACAGCCAATTGTTGAAGCCAGGCAGAGCAGGTTCAAAGTTCGATCCTACTACCTTCCTGTTATGTAGCCTTGAGCAAAAGATTTCAGGAGCCTAAGCAACCTCTGTAAATGCAGATATCTCTATCTTCTAAAATTGTAAGTCACAACAGTGTCCTTAATACCTCCTAGGTACTCCAGAAACCCCAGTTTGGCTCTAGGATTCTAGAAATTGCAACATATAGAAGTCATATAAGAAAGTGTGGAACGGAGCTGAGGTGGGAGTGGATGAGCAGGAATTAAGTAACTGGAGTTCATAGTGGTTGGAGACTGAGGCTACCTGAGAGCTGAGAGATGGAACAAGGAGGAGGCAGGCTAAAAGGGACTGTGAGAGATCACCTTGGCATATCCTCACAGGTGAAGCTTTGGGCTAGCCTCTACAATGTTCCTGTAGTCTGGCAGCCACTCCCTCATTCCAGCAGCACAATACCTCACCAGGAAGAAGCCAGGGAAGTTTGAATGGGCTGAGGCAGCTCCAGGTTCCATGCCCACTGCAGTAAGAAGCACTGTTCGCACAACACTAAGACCTCTTCAACGTCACCTCTTATGTCGTCAGGAAAGGTGACGGAGTGCAGAGCCCTTCCCCTGCACTCTTCCCTTCTCAGCCTGCACTCCTGGTGACACTTGTGCTTGTGGTCTGGAGAGCATTCCTTGAGGATGGGAGTTCTCGCCTCCCAGAGCCAGCCTCTGTGGAAGGAGCAGGCTTGCCCATAGCCTGGTTCACAGTTTCCCTGAAGTGTGTTAGGTGCCTCACATGGAATCAGTGTCAGGAACTTTTGTCCAAATCTCAGTATACCACAGCACAGGAGTCATTTTCTCTGATGAGTCAACCCCAAAAAAGCTCTCCTGGGGGTCCCAAGACACAAGTATAGGCAGGGCTTCTAGGATGATCTGGGGGAGGGTAGAGGCCTGGCAGAGCTGTGGGTCCTCAGCTCTGCCCTGAGAACAGAGGGGTTAACAGGGGTATGATCTTAACCCTGCTTCCCCTAACTCTTCCATCCTCCAGAACCCAAAATGGCTCCTATCACTCCATTTAAACTGGTCCCAAATTTTCCTTCACTTCCCCATAGTTGTCCCAAGATCTCCACCTCCTCAGAAGTCTCCCTATTAAGAGCAAGACCCTGTGCTGCCTAGGGCCTGTGGTGTAGCTGTACCCATCCCCGTAGGACACAAGAGCATCTGCCTTCTTCCCAGACTGGGTGGCATAGCAGTGAGACCAATCCCCTGTGGATCAGGGTTCCTTTGTGGGTATGCAACACAGCAAAGCAAAAACCACAGGAAGCCCAGAAGACCTTACAAGTCATTGTCCTTTATTTTCTTACCATAAGATGAAATTTCAATTGCAAAGAAACATACACAGAGCAGACAGATGCGGGGTCCTTGATCATAGTGGCCAGAACCAGGTGGGATGGGTCTGCCCCGCCCCCTCCAGCATATCCCTCACCACCACCCTGGGCCCTGAGCCATTACCCAGGCAGAAACTGAGAAATTGGAGGTGAGAGGACCAGGGAGTGACCAGACATGGCCTTGGCTGCTAAGATTGACCCAATATGATTTAGTTGGGCCCATGGGTCCTCAGTGTCCTTCTCTGTTAAGTGGGCTACAGTGCCTGCTAGGGAATGGAGAGGAGTGTGCAGCCACAGGCCTCCTGACTGTCCTGTTGCTCCTGAGCACCTGAAGAATGTATCTCTCAGTTTATGTTCACAACATGGTTAAGGGCACGGTAGTGGAGCCGCTCCGGCCTGATGGGATGCAATGGACCAACTTAGAGAGCTGAATTCAAGATGCCAACCCCTGAACTGACTCTACTCTGAACTGTCCTTGGGCTGCATCATCGGGTCAATAAAGAAAGACGATGCCTAGGGTCACACAGTCAGCCTGTTCAGGTTGTCCAGCCTCTGACCAAAGGCAGCTGGCCAGGAGCTCATAAGCCAGGGCAAGAGTGGCCTCCTTCATCATGATGTGAACTAGGGGCACCCAAGCCCCTGCATGCCCAGCATGGGCATCCGTCCCTGGACTGCTCCACATCCACTGCTTCCCTCCTTAGACATGGTGTTGCAGCTAGTTCAATGCTCTTTAACAAACCCATTCCCCAAACCTACACTCCAAGGGGGACTGGAGAACTGAAATAAACTACCCAGTCAGTGCCATGCTAGATGGGCAGACCAAGTAGAGCTAGATAATAGAGTGTGAGCTCTTCCTCCACGACAAAACAGACTCCATTCTGCTACAGCAAACCTACCTAAAGGAAGCCTCTCTGGGGGACAGGCACTTCCAGCGTCCTGAACTACGTCTCTGCTTCCTAGTTCATCCACATGTGCTCATGGGCTGTGGATGTTGGGCAAGAGCTCGGGCCAGGTAGACAAAGCAGTGTTGTCTAGACTGCTCCTGTGGCGTGTCCACACTTATGTCCATAGCTGTCCCTTCCTTGCCACTTTCCAGATGTGGTCACTGAGGCCCCAGCAGAGGGACAATTTCAAGGTCCTATAGTGAATCTAAGGGGAAGGGTCTCGGAGGTAAGTCAGACCAAAGGCAGAAGTTAGGGGACCTCCTCTCCCTCAAAGTGCCTTTGGGGACAGAAGGCCTACTCAAGGAAGGCCATGATCAAAGGCACGAAGCAACAATGGCAGAATCCCAGGCACCTAAGGTGGGTGACTTGCTGGGCAACTTTGGGATGAGGGGGACTTCCTAGCACACTCTGAGGGGACAACTAGCAGGGTGGGTCCCTCCCTTTCACTCCTCCATGATGTCAATGGAATGAGGTGCTGAGTTGATAAATCTTGGTCCCCAGGAAGCTCTGAGACCAGGAAACAGAAAGAAAGACAGTGATAATGCTGCCCCAGATAAGGCAGGACCACTCAGGTCAGGCAGGTCTTGGGGAGTCTTTGGTCAGCCTGTCAGAGTGTCTACAATATGATTTCAGCCCTCCCCTCCCTCCGCCCATCCCTGCCCCACCCCCATATGGATGCCTAGGCCAAGCCTCCTCTATTTGGGCTTCATCTCCACCCTGGAGTTGAGGTCATCAGCATCCAGGTCGTACTCCTCCACCTGGCCACTGGTCCACACCTTCATGCGGTCTGTGAGGTCGCTGCTGCGTGGGGCCAGGATGAAGTCATAGATCAGCACTGCCAGGGCACCCCCAATGAATGGCCCCACCCAGAAAATCTAGGAAAGAAGCATGAGAGTTTAGAGGACAGCCAGCCATACCACCCCTTCTCCCCTTAGGGCTCTCCCCAATCTGTCTTAAGTCAGAAGTAGATAGACCAGGCCCCTACTTTCTGATTCCTCAGAGTGAGCCCAGACTAGCGTGTGTAATAGGGACATGTCCTGGCCTCTGAACCCAACTCAGGCATCTCTGTACAGCCTATTCCTGAGGATGGCTCCTACTCTCTTCCCCCAGCCTTGGAAGTCCCCAGAGATGGGCTCGTCTAATAGAAGGCTGGCCAGGAGCACACAGACCAACAGTAATTAGAGCTAAAGCCTACGCAGCCCATGCAATGTTTCCTCTGCTCAGAGCTCTGCTTGCAGACATCGGTCCTCTCCTGATTCTAAAAGCCCTGGGAGAGCCAACTCTCCTAAGCCCACTTCATTTCCCACAGCCTGGGAAACCAAGGCACAAAGCCTGTCTGGGGTTGCTAAATCCAAAGGTGGCAGAGCCAAGATTCCAACCCCACTCTCTACTACATTGATAGGATAACAGGGAAGGACAGTGGCCAGGGCAGTAGGCCTGAGCTGCCAGAGTGGAGACTAGACACCAATCTTTTCATGATGCAAACCCCCTCCTTCATCTCGGGCTTTGGTTCCTTTATTTCCTCTGCCCTATGTGTCTCCCAGAATCTCTACGAGAGGAAACTATGCCTCAAGGGTGGGGTAGAACTTGCTTCCACCATGTGCCTGGCCGCCCATGGTGACTTACCCAGTGGTTTGAGAAGTTGCGGGTGAGCACAGCAGAGCCAAATGACCGAGCAGGGTTGATACCACAGCCAGTGTAGTCGATCTGGAAGGGGAGCAAATAAATAACAGGAATGTAGAGAAAATGACAGGGAGGGTAGGGAGAGAGGAAGAGCAGAGGAGGGGAAAGTCAACCCCAGAGGGGAAAAGGACATGACCAGAGATCCTTGTCCTGGCACCCAGAGTGGGTCTGCTATCCCTCACCCCATGGTGGAAGTTCTATCCAGAGTACCACAGATACCACACTAGCCCTACTCACCAGTTCCTGACACGGCCCTCGGCCTGACCATGGCCCCAACCTAGGAATTCTCCTACTTACCGCCAGCAGGTGTCCCAGAGCCACAGACAAGCCAATGGCAAGGGGGGCTGAGCCACCTAAGTCCCGGCGCCTCCGGTCAGTGGTGGCCAGCACGCACAGCACCAGCTGCAGAGTGCCAATGATCTCGATGCCCAGACCCTGGCCGGAGTTTACACCTCGAGCCAGCTGCAAGGGAGAGAAGCAAGAAGGCCGAGTGAGCCGGGCAGCTGGCAATTGTAACAAGATTCCCAGAGCACTAGGCCCAGGCACCAACAGACACGCTTCAACCCCTTCATAGCTTATTACTCATCTTCTCACCGTGTGACCCCAGAGGGCACCAGACATATGAGGCAGGTAACGAAAACCACCCCTTGTCCCCTCCGACACCTGATGATCCTCTCTCTAGCTTGATCCCTAGTCCTGTCTAGACCCTGCCTCACTCTGGTCAGAGGCCCAGGGTGAAGCAGGGCCTTCTTGTTGGCTACATGGAGTGCTCAGTGGTGAGCCTCAGGCACGGGAGGTGGTCAAGGACACCCAGAGAAGAGAATCACGGGTAGGAGGACCCGAGAGGAGCTACTGCTGCATCCTTTCAAGTCCAAAGCTTTTCCTGTCTCCATCTCCTTCCCCCTCTGTATTCCCTCTCTTGCCTCTTTTCTTCCCTGGCTCCAGCCCTGCCTTCCCTCTCTGTGGCTACATGGGCCCCACCACTGTAGTCTGGCTACCCCTGTGCCTAAGCCACTTTTGGAAACATGACTCATGGAAAAAGAAGGGAATGGGAGCTGCCGCGAAGTCACCGGAGCCCCACCATCCCTGCAGCGGCAGTGAGAAGACCCCTCCCAGGGGGTCCATACAGCTGCTCCAGGTCAGGGGCTGGGGCCAAGTGTACCCCACAGGGGAGCTGGGCCATGTTGGTGAAGAAGATGCTGGAATAGTCTCCCTTTCGGTCTGTCTGCCAGGGGGAACAGCTGAGCCCCAGCAAGCTGACTCTAAAGACTCACTTCCAGTTTCCCAGCTGAGTGGTGCTATCTCCAAGGCAACCAGGCATTCTGCAGGGTCCTAGGTGGGAGGCACACCTCCACTTCTTCAGGGGTTTTCCCAGTTCGGCCCTGAGGCCCCCTCACAAGAACAATTCTCTTCCCGCCTTTGTCCACAGTGCTGGCTCTCAGGGAATGACTCACATCCCCTCGGCAGCCTTGAAGCCCAGCTTTGGGCCTTTCCTGACCAAACCCAAAGCTGTATCCCCCATGCCCAGTAAGCTTTCTGGGGGCAATGCCCAATTATCGTCCCACTACTAAGCCAGGCAATAGAGACAGAATCCCAGTGTTCAGGTTCTTACTCTTCTACTTGTTGGCACCATGAACATGGCTCTCTCTGGGCCTCAGTTTCTCCATCTGCAAAATGGGTTCAAAGTCTCAGCTCTGTCTAGACTCTAGAGCCTCCAGAAGACTCAAAGATCACAGGGCTGTCTCGGACATTTGGTGAAGGTGGTAAGAGCAGGAACTATCAGGAGGTGGAGATGGAAGGGAGGATAGCTGCCTTGGCTGGCAGAGGCTGCCTACAGCTGGGAAGGCTTGGTGCAGGAATGAGGCCAAGATGTCTAGCCCCACTTCCACCTAGAAGGCCGTGGCCCCCATTTAAATTCATGGCTTCTCTCCCTCCATCTCCTCTGCTCTCTTGGGATGGCCTAATTGCTAGCTGGCAGGAGTCCCAAGAAGAGAACTTCCTCACCAATTAATGGAGCTGTCCCTAAGTCTCCTTCTCAGATCCAATCCCCATCCCGCTCTTCTCAGAGGTATCCAGAGTTAGTTCGTCTCTTGCCCCGGTTCTTAACCAGGGTTAAGTCCCAGGTTAGACCCAAGGTACCACTTTCTACACAAAGCAGAACAGGCAGTTCCAGGCCCAGAGGGCTGAGTCCTCAGGAAGCCTGGGAACTCCAGAAGGTGCCCACTCCTGACTGCCAAGAGCCATAAGGCTGGAAGCCTTTCCCTTCCAATGCCCACATCCACTACCACCCCCAGTAGTCGCCAGCTCCCCCCACCCACCTCACTTGCCTCGGCAGCTAATGACAACTGCTCTCCCACTCCCTAATGCACTTGAACTCCTTACATCTGGGAAAACAGTAAGAGGGTTAGAAATGATAAAGTACTGCAGAAACTCTATGTCCAGGAAAGAGCAGGCTAGAAAAGTCAAACCATAGCAATCGCGAACAGCCCATTACATTTCAAACAACTGCATTAATAGTACCAATTACTGTCCTTTATCACTAGAAAGGACCCATGCCCATATGCATGTGCAGACTTTTGCCTGGATTTTCACTGGTTAAAGTGGAAACTGCAACACCGAGTTTTATGAATGCAAGTGTGAGTGGTGGAACAGGCCATGCAGCCCTTGTGAAGCATCCGAGATCTCCCAATCGTTGGGCCCAGGCGAGCTCATGGCTTAAGCTCAGACACACCAGCTCAGAGCTTTCTATGGGACGTGGCTTCTTTCTCCTCCCACATGCCATACCCTCCAGGAATCACCTGAGCAGCTGAGCATCACAGAGAAGAGGAGTCCACCTGCCACCTAGCTGGGTGTTTGTCCTTCCTAGCTTGGGAACCTTCCCAGGTCTCTGCAAACCTCTGAGCGGAGGCTCATTGTGCAGGACAAAAGGGATTGAAAGTGCACATTTCCCAGGACGTCCAGCCTCCTTAAGGTAGCTGACTCCGACAAAGCTGTCGGAGTGAAGGGAGGGCCTATGCTTTTGTTGTTTAGCTGGGAGATGATAGGCCAACCAATGACCTTAGAGAGTCACATGTGAGAGGCTGGAACAGGCCCCTATGCTCAAGAAGGATACAGGAAGGCCAGGACCCTCACCTCAGGATGTGTGTCACCCCAAGTTCATAGGCTAATGTGCTTGGCTACCAAGGGACCAGACTGTTACAGCTTGGAATGGGTCACTGGCAGGAGGTGTGTGTGTCCCAGCCCAGGATTGACCTTTCCATGCCACGCTACCTGAACCCACCCTGCCACTTGGAGGCATGTCATCAGGACAACCAAGTCCCAGGCGCGGGGCCCTGACTCCCCCTGTGCCCCACCCATGGGGAGCAGCAGAGTCCAGAGCTAGGCCTGGCTGAGCCTCTGCTCTCAAGGAACAGCTTCAGAGACGTGGCTGTCTGCCCACCCCACTGTCTCCAGGACTCAGCACTGGCCCGCCAGGGAGCAGTGGGCCCCACCTTGTCACCTCGCAGACGGCATCCACATGTGCCCAGAGCTCAGCGTACAGCTGCAAGGGTTTGTGGACCACCGTCGGCTGTGTCTGCAAGTGGCCGTGTGTCTGGGGCGCTTCTCGTGTCCTCTCTTTTGTTAGACCGTAGCAGGTTTATTACAGGATAATTAAATGATCTAAGAACTATAAAAATATTAGACCTACAGGCAGTAAAAACAAATGATTTAGACTAAGAGTAAATTATTAAAAAAAAGTGGACAGCTACAAGAATCAGATCAACCTATTCCCAAAGTGAAAGTTTTTTGTTTTTTTTTTTTTTTTTTTTTAATAATCCACCCCCTTAGAAACTCATAGAATGAGGCAGTCAAAAAGGCTAGTAACACAAACAGGCAAGAATTAAGCCACGTAACTAGCAACACTTCATTAAAGGAAAGTAGGGAAACCTGCACCTTGGGATTAGAGGCTAATCAGTCTTTTGATGTCCCCGAGGGAAATTTAAACAAGCTGATAGGGTCCTGACCAAGTACTCCTGAGCACATGCGCCGTGACTCAAGACACCACGTTGGGCACGCTCTGCTGAGCAGGGGGCTCCGCGCAGCACAAAGTCCCAGATGGTTTCTGTGTGTTTGCACTGGTGTGTCTGATGGCGTGTCTGAATGCGTCACTCTGCCCTCCTCGTGCTTCACACCCACAGGGGTGTTGCCACTACTAGCTGCAGAAGGGAGGGGAGTGGCGAAGGGGGCGACCCCTCAAGGAAGAGAGTAGCTGGTCTCAAAGGCCCTTTATGTGCTCCCAGAACCATTTTATCTTTCCAACAAGAAACAATACACAAAGCAATGGTTTCCAACTTCCTCTCCTCCTTTTCCTTACTGCAGGGCAGGGAGAGGAAGGGGCTCCCGCGAGGAGCCTCCCCCTCCTGGGCCCCCCAGATCCAAGCAGTGTTGAGAGCATGCTCTGTGCCCCATGTCATGTATGTGCATGGGTGTGTACATGTTCGGGCAGTACATGTGCATTTCGGAGGATTGGGAGGCAGAAGGCTTGAAGGAAGCGTGGTCCTGCCCTGACATTACCCACTGTACGTACAGCCTTGATTGAGTCTCAGTTTTCCCAACAGCAGAATGGAGGCATTGGCCAGTCTTCCTTCCAGCCTGAAATCAGGTAGTGCCCCTCTAGCCAGCACCTAGAAACCCAAGTACGAGTCTCCATTCTCAGCATGGCACAAAGCCTCTGTCACAGACCCTCTTGCCCACCTACACTGCACCTCCACACAGCCAGGCTCTCCCAGAGCAGCTTCCTTGTTAGGTGGGTCCAACCTACGTCCTAGAAACAGGGGGCTCATCTGTTTAGAGGAAGCTGCTTCCTGAGTTTAAAACAAAACAAAACAAAATCTTCCTTATACAGGATGAAACCTCCTCTCTGGAGAGGCTTGATTGGGATTTCAGGCCCCTGGAGGGGCTGATCATGCCTTCCCACTGTCTTTGGCCCCTGGAGGGGCTGATCATGCCTGCCCGTCTTTGGTCTACGGGCTTTACAGTCTCAAGGATGCTCAGGAACATTAGCTGCTTGGGTGGGTAAGGATAGCTCCCTGCTCATCCCGCCTAGGTACCACCCTACTGTGGTGGGGGAGCCCCTCTAGTCTCCAGGAAAAGGCCCAGACAGAGGAGTCCCTGGTCACCATGGAGCCCCAAGGACATTTCCCAGCCCATATCTGCAGGTATGAGGCTCAAGTCTCAACTGTTCAGGAGTCCTGAGACCTACAGGTGCTTCTAAATGGTAGGGACTGGAGTTCCCAGGACCTGAGTTCCCAGGGACCTGCTGCCAGCAAGAACTTATGACTCTTCTGTCACCATAAATGACTTCCCAGACACCATGGGTATTGGGGGTGGGTATTGTGACCTGCCTGGAAAGGCTTGGTGGGTTGTAGTTGAGGACACCCTGAGTGGGGCCCTAGAGAGAGTAGAGCTGTGTAGGGGCTTTCCAGATGAGCTACTGAAGGCTTCTCGGGCTAGAGAGGGGATCACCAGGGCAGAGGGGCTGAGGCTGTGGTGGGGTGGGGTGGGGTGGGGTGAGGTGGGGTGGGGTGGGAGCAGCTTTTCTCAGATGCCACCTGCATATTCCCTCTTGGAGTACTCTTTTTCAAATACCTGTCCCAGGTAGACCCTGGTTTGGGACAGGCGGTCCACACTAGCTGTGCTGCTCAGCGGATGCCGTGGAGAATCCGGCCTCAGAATTTTTGTGAGAAGGAATGTCTACTCTGCCACCAAGCTCCACCTCTACATGCTCGTCCCCCTGCCCTTTCTTTCTCTCCCAGGTTCTGGCTGGAAACAATAATTACAGGTCTCAGCTATGCTGTTACACCCAGCCCCCAGCCTTGTCCCTGGCCACGCTGGACTGGGCCAGGGCATTGGAAATACTTCTTTTCATAGCCCATTCCTAAGTCCTGGTGGAGGCGGCAGGGGCCTCAACTCTGGTAGGCCTACAGGTAAGAGAGACCCTCTCTCCTCATTGCTGGGGAAGCTAACACCCAAGAAACTGGGAGAAGAGTGAGAATTTAGACCCAAGATATAGGCCATCTGGTATAGCAGGTGGAAGCATTTCCAAGCATTTGCGTCCTGAATCAATAGGACTAACAGATGACCCTGAAGAGAACAGGGCTGCCCTCTGCCTCAATCCCCAGGCAGGTAGACTGGGAGGCTCTGGGAACACAGTTCCCTCCAGATGCACTCAGACACCAGCCCAAGTCCAGAGCTCCTACCGCCTTCAGAGTCCAGTCTCCTATTATGACCCCAGTCTGCCCAAATTCAATGACCGCCTCTAGTCCATGGCCTCCCTCACCCTTTACTTGAGCTCTATCCACAAGCCCCTTCTCAGTCCACATTTGGGTTCTTACAGGACTACCTCCCTGCAGCTCTCCTGGCCCTCCCATCCTTCCAGTTCAAAAGTTCTCTGGCCTGCCCTGACACCTCTTATCTCACCTGCCTCCTGCCTGGTATCAGAGGCAGCTGTGCTGCTTATCTGGCCTCAAGCCCATGAGCTGCCCAGTGTGGGGAGCCTGGCTGACCCAGCCTTGCCCTCAGCACCCAACGGCCCCAGTCATTTCTGCAGGATGAGGGCCAGAGAGGGGAAGAATGAAAACAGCTGGGATGCCAGGACTCTAAGGCCCCAGCATCCTCTACTTTCCAAAGCCAGCCACACCCTTTTACATCCTGTTCATGGTCCATAGGTGGGAATTAGGGCCATCTAAGCCCCATCAATTGCATGGAGCAACATAGGGTGCAGGTGGCTGACCCTGGGCAGGTAACCTCAGGGCCTCCAACTAAGAGTGAAAATTAGGCTCCAGCTCTTTAACCCAGAAGGGACGACTGGGCTTATAGGAGGCCTGTAGTCTCTCAAGGGCGTTTCCTGAGCCCTGACTTCGTCAGGAGAGAGTTGTCCCCACCATGTCCCCGGGGGACACCCCCTGACTCACCCAACCACTTCCTGCCACTTTTCTCTCTATTTTCTTTGGAAATCTCCATGCCAACAACTCACCCCACCCAGGTTTTGGCGGCAGGGTGGGGGTAGGAGCAGAGGAGCTGTGAGAGCCTTCCCACGGGATGCAGAGGAAGAGACTGCCACCTGTTCCATTTACTACTTGTCCCTCTAAGGCATTGAGACCAACCCCAGCCCCTCCAGGTCCAGGAGCCAGTGCCTGAGGAGAGCCATTTGGCTGGGGTACAGATTGTGTCCTGCACGCCAAAAGTCGATGGTTTGGATCACAATGTTTGGTCCCCTCCGTATGGCACTGACATTGTAGGTCCTTTTAGCCAAGCCCTTCTAGGGTAGCTCCAACCAACAATTTAAGTTGGTAGTATGAGTGTAGCAGAAATGTCACAAGAACCTAGGCCCCCTCTTGAACGTCAGGATGCTCGGCTTCAAGAAGACTCAGGGTTAACAACAATCAGGACTTTAGGCTAGGCTGCCTGTCCCCAAGCTATCCCCACATGAGCCTGAAGCTCCTTCTCCTTCAGCTGTATCTGCCTGTATCCAGAGTACTCTGGCACTCTGGAAAGTGGAGAGGGGTGCAGAAGTTGAAGTGGGGTGTAGCCAGATTCAGGTGCCGTCGAAGCAATCACATGCTGCCTCTGCCTTCGATGACATATTAGAGAACGCAAAGCCTTTGCCAGTGAGGGCACAGGTCCTGCCTGTCACTTGACTTGGAAGGGACAAGAGCCAGGAGTCTCCACCACCTCCTTCCCACAGGGGCCCTTCACTGCTTCCATCCTGCCCAGCACCCACCTCAGGGGGAACTTGAGCCTTCTCAGAGGAATTCAGGGAGGCACCTAGCCCTGCTCCGATTGGAGAGACTGAAGTCTAGAGGGACACTGCCTGTCTAATTCTGCTCCTTGTGCCTGCTGCAGCCAAGTTTTCTCCAGCTAGAGTCTAAACTCCAGCCGCAGGGCTAATCTTCAATCTCCAGTTGAGCAGAGGTTGACTTAAAAGCGTGACCCTGAGGTGTCACTATGACACAGAAGTGTTCATCCCTGCAGTGGGGCCACATCAGCTGCCCTCTGCACCAGACTTTCACCTCCCTCCCCATCTGCATCTCCAGGACTTGAACTTCGGCTGGGAAATGAAAGGAGTGCACTCAGCCATGGCCATCCAACTCACAGGAGCCCTGGACCACTCCCTTGCTCCTGTCCCCATGTACCTGCCCTGCCAGGGTCCAGTCAGCTTGGTTTCTCTGGGGTGGAGGCTGGCTCCTCTACTCTGCCTTTAGTCTTTGCCTCTGGTGAGCCTATTCCCCTCTGAGACATCATCCATCCTTATTCAGACACTCCCGCTAAACTGGTCCCCCGTTAAACCCAAGTGCACTCAGCATGGGCACTGAGCTAAGAAGTTGGAAAAGGTCTGTGACCAGGCAGCCACCACCAAGGCCAGCCACTTAGTAGTGTGGAGTAGCCCAGGGACAGTTATTTTGAACAGCTGCCACGCAGCTGTCAGCATCTGCTTATCATTCAAGCCAGGAATAATGGGCACAAGTGGTCACACACTCTCAAATGCAGCATCCACTTGGAAATCACTTACACAAGTTTAGGACCCATGTCGACACGTGCACACCTCCACTTCCATCTCCACACACAACAAGCATGCAGGGCACACCACTCAGTGACCAAGGACTGTGGAGCTGAGCCCTTCTCCTGAACTGTTATCTAGAAAACTCTTCCAGCAACTCCAGAGAGTTTTGTTCCCTCAACTTTGTCTGACTATTGAGGGCAGAGGAATGACAGGGGGCTGTCTCCTGACTTTCTGGGAAAGTTGATTTGGGGACCTGAGTGCGGATTAGGGGCTGCCTAGAAGTCCAGGCAACTTCACAAGGGTGTCACGCTCAGATACTTGCAAAAGTCTCTGGAGAAAGTGGACTTGGGACAGTAGGCAGAGGTTGCCTAGGGCACAGGGCTGTGCAAGGAGGGAAGTGACTTCTCAGGTAGGATAGAGGCAGGCCAAGAAACTCTCCGATGGAGGGGTGAAGAATTGCTGGCACACAGCTAGCTGCCCCCTCAGCTCATTCCTGGCAGTGGATACTCTGCAGGGGACTTTGGCACAACCATTATTGTCTAAGTCTTCCATGCCCACAGCACCGGGCAGCAAACAGACCCTGCAACACAGCCGAGTTCCAGCCCCAGCGCTCGGCATGACCCCAGCAACCCTCATCACTCTCTCTGTTCCTCAGTGTCCCCCATTGCACAGTAGGCAAATGGAGCCATTGCCCTCTCTGTGTCCTCCTGTAGACCCCCCCCCCCGCCCAAGCCTGAGACACCCCACTCACATCATTGCGGCCAAGTGAGTTCTCAATTAGGGAGGAGGTGATGCCCGAGAGGATGGCAGTGGCGACGATGGCCCCCACACACTGGGCGATGATGTACATGACAGCCCGGAGGATGCTGATCTGACAGCTGAGCAGTAGCCCCAGTGTGACAGCTGGGTTGAGGTGAGCACCGCTGATGTGACCCACACTTTGGGCCAGGGTGGCAATGCTCAGACCAAAGGCCAGCGACACCTTCACGTTGTCCTGGACCAGTGTCTGGTTTCTCTCCAGTGGGTAGTTGAAGCCTAGGGCAGAGCCGATGCTGATGAAGACGAAGAGGGTCATGGCCAGGAACTCGGCCACCACAGCCCTCCAGAAGATCTTCTTCTTGAATTCGCTGGCCATGCTGGCAGGGGGCTCGACTTCACTGCTGGATGCCTGGTGCTCGAATCCTTCCAAGAGCTGAGCCACAGCCTGGGCTGGGCCTATTTATAGGGCTGGGTGGGGGGAGCACAAAGGGAGGAAGGCCTCTCCTTGCTCCTGGCCCGCCCCACACCACACGGGCCTCCTCTCTGCGATGGATGCAGACAGGGCTCTGCTGTCTGCCTGCCAACTTTTTCCTTCCTCCTCTCCCCCTCCTGCCCTCCCTTGCTCCCTCCACCCGCCTCAGCCCTCGGCCCTGCCCAGCCTGAGGAGGCAGGCAGGAGGCAGCCGTTGCTCTAATAGGCTTTGGGAAATTCTTCCAAGCTGGCCCTTCTCAGGGGGCCAGAGAAATCCAGGTGTCCCCGCCCAGCCTGCAAAGCTCAAGGGTGCCTGAGGGCAGAGCCAGACACTCCAGAGGGGCGGGGAATAGGGGTTGACTGGACTCTCAGGATGAACGTTGCCCTCCCTGGAGGTGGCACCCGCACCCGCCTGCCTGTCCCATCCCGCTCTGAGCGGTTACTAATCTGAAGTCCTCAGGCCCAGGGATCTGAGAGCCAGTCTGGCCTCCAATGTCCCGGCCCGGGTCAAGGGGCTGCATGTCACTTTGGGGATGTCCCCCCACCACCCAGGCCTCAGTTGATGGGAGTAGAGAAGCTTTCTGGGAGTCACCTACTATTCTGCCCGCAAGGATAGGCCTAAGCCAGGCAAGACTGTTGGAAAGCTCCCTCAAATCCTCAAACTTAAAACAATGTGAATCAATGAGGAGAGTGATGTTTAGTTAGTTAGTTAGTTAGTTAGTTAGTTAGTTAGTTAGTTTGTTTGTTTGTTTGTTGTTTTCCTCTAATAGGCAATGGAGCTGGCAGGTCACTGGGGAGATAGGAGGAAAGGCAGCTGGACCTGAAAAGGAGAGAAAGGGACACACACACATGCTGAGGCTAAGACCCAGACACAGAGAGACAGAATGACAGACAGGGCAGAGGCAAGCTTTATCAGAGTGAGAGTAGAAAGCGAAAGAGAGTCTCCCAGCCAGACAGGGAGACAGCAGGAAGAGCTAGGGATATAGCCCCCGGGGACAGAATACTTGTCTGGGCACCGGGTTCAAACCCCAGCAACACAGAAAACAAAAACAATACTTCAGAAACAGGAAGCACACACACTGAGCAGAGGGGACATTTGGCTGAACCAGAGTCGAGATACAAAAAACGAGGCAAGAGAGAGGCCAGAGGCACTTTCCAACAGCAGGAAGGGAGGAGGCCATGCTGCAGACCCAGCACCCACCCCATTCCCTGTGCACCCCCAGAATCTGGAGTTAAGGACCAGAGAACTGGTCACTCACCTACTGTGTGAGTGTGCTGGAAAGTGAACCAGGCCCAGCAGAGGGGCTGTCTCTGTAATCACAGGGCAGGGCCTGAGATGAGCAGGTCCCCTCTCTTTCCACCTTAATCCTTCGCAGGATCATTGGCCTCTTACCCGTTAGAGGTGGGAAACCAAGGCCCACTGAGAGAGAAGAACATCTTTGAATCTGACATCTGTCAAGGTGGAGCAGGATGAATTCGTGGTCCAAGCACCTTCTATCCAGGGTCCACCCTACAGAGGATAATACTGTCTCCTAAGGGCCACCTTATGTCCAGCTGTAGCCCTGGTACTGGATGTGACCTGCAGGGATCCTGTGATGTGTTTGATGGGAGCAGGTGGCTGGTTGGGAATGCATTCACAACTATGCACCCAAATACTTACAAGGCCAAGAGGGAGGAGCTCTGAGCAGAACGGTGGTATAGAGGCTGCTTGGCCCCCTCTGCCCAGGCAGTCTTGGCAGCTGGAGGTAATCAAAGGCTTATTAACCCTCTAGAGAGGCAGCCAGTATGATGGACCACCTCCCCGAACCTCCACCACATCCTTTATTCTGAGAGGTTCCCTGTGACCTGACAGTGGCATGGCCCCTCTAGGAACTGGTTCTTCAGTTCCAGAGGCCTCTAACCAAAGATCAGTCTGCAAGGCTGTGCAAGGCTCAGATCTGATGCTGTCTGGCTCAGGGACCCAGCCAGGAGGATTCTAGGAAAACAGGAGGAGAAGCACTTTCCAGAGCCTGGTGTGGCCAGGCAGCAGAATATCACAACAGAACCAAGTGAGCAATATGAGCCCTTTTGGGCCTAAGTATGTCCCAAGAGGCTATGGCAGTATCTTCAGGACCAGATACTAAAGTGTGTGTGTGTGTGTGTGTGTGTGTGTGTGTGTGTGTGTGTGTGTGTGTGTGTGTGTGTGTGTGTGTGTGTTGGGAGCAGTGTCAAGATTTCCTTGGGAGCTACCAATATCTTCTCTAGCACAGGTATTTTATTAGCACTGATAGCATGCCAAATACCATTTAGGATACGGCTGGACAACCATGGGCCACAGAGACCAGCCCCTTGTCTTCTGGAAGTTTCCCTTCCTCCACATCACCTCACAAACTCCGTGCAGACCCAATTTACAACTGAGCCGATGACCATGACTTCATTCTTTGGACAAAGGTGATGTCAACAGTAGGAGATGCCATCAGAATGCAGGTATTGCCAGAAATACCAGTGGGGACCTTATCTGTCACGACCTCCCACGATGTCAAAGGGCCACTGCAATTCTAAACTGGCTATTTGCAAGGAAAAGTGGAAAGGTTCCTGGCCGGATGTCAGGCAGAAAGGCCCTATACTCCAAGCTCTTTCTCACTGGCCTGTCACAATCCTGGCTGGCTGGCCAGGAGAGGCAGGCCAAAAGTGGGCAGTGTCTTGCTGTGCCAGGGAAAGGGATGCCCCACCACTTAGTCCTGATCCCAGAGCCTAAGTACCACCCCTCAAAGAAAGGTCCCCAAGGCACAGGTTATTCTACCCAGTTCGCTGGCCCAGAACAAAGGCCAACGAACGGCCTTGGGCTACAAGCCTCAGTGTGGATAGGGGTGCTAGTGAAAGCAGTTCCAGCTTCCACGCATGGCTGGGCTGGGGAGGGCTGCAGTGGTCGAAGGTGAGATCACAGAGGAGCAGGGAGCAACCAGAACCCTGCAGTGCAGTCAGGCCCTAGGCTCAAGGCCTGGTGCTGGCTGTGATTCTCCTTCAGGGTGTCCCAGTGCCCTGGGACTGGCTCATGTGTCTTTCCTGTGAACAGGTTCCCAGGCTCAGGCCAGACTAAATAAAGCAGGTGCCCTCCAACCTAGTGCCCAAGCTCCAGGCGGGACTTGAGGTCACTGGGGCCCTGGGGGCAGCCACGGTTTTGTCCTAGTCAGTGCTTTTCCAGATGTGTCCCGCTCCCGACATGCCCAGGGAGGCTGGTGCCAGTCAGAGCCGGCTGTTCATAGGATCATCTGGGGCTGTCTCATTTCTTCAGAGAGCCACAGAACTTGAGTCTCCGTCTCAGAGGGTGATGACCAGAGCCCCAGGTGCAGGCTAAGGACAGGATTATTAGGTGTATGGAAAGGAAACGTCCCCGGGTGTGGTCCATCTTTCAATGCCTAGCTTCTGTGACATGTCAGTCAGAGGAGCTGAAAGGAATGGACTCCACCTCTTGCCAGCCGAGATATTCTCCATAAGCCAGTAGGAACGAGGAATGACTTTAGTCCCTCCAGAAGGTCCACCAGGAAGAGAGTGTGGGATAAGAGGGGACTTGGCAGCCCACAGTCACCATAAGCTCACCAATAGCTTGGATGAGTTTTCCCAGCTGGCTCCAGTTTTCCTAAGTTGGAAGTTAGAACAGTGAAGCAGGAGGAGAAGATAGGATATTCCCTCTGAGGCCTGAGGAAAGTGGGCCCCTTTCCCTTCCTGGCCTACCAATTGGGGCTCCCAGCTTTGTCCGAAAACTCTCCCCAGGGGGGCACCCGATTATACCCCTCTCCTGGCTGTCATCCAGGCAGGACTTGTTAGCCATGGTTCTCTAGACCCCTCTCAGGAGTTCATGGCCAGAGGTGCCAATCTGGAGCCACCCTCCTCATGTGAGACAGGGTCAGCCCCTCCAACACTGAGGAAGATAACGTCAGCTCAAGACCAGGGCGTGGGATTTCTCGGTGCCTTGGAAGCTCAGCTCCTCTGCCCAGTGCTCAGGTTCCTCACAGCACGGTATGGCCTCATGTTGGCCTCCCACTTCCCAGTCTTGTGGTCTAGCTCATTACACCTGCTGTGGCCATTCCCATTCCTCCCCTGCCACAGTGTCCACCCCTCCTTCTTCCCAGACGCTCCTGCAGCCCCTCCACTGTGATGGCACCCTGGACCATCCCACGATGAGCCCAGGGAAGGCTAGGTCCCTAAGGTTGCTTAGGGAGCAGGGAGCTGGGCATGGTGGGAGTTCCCGTAAGCATCTGCCCCTGCTGTCAAGGGAAGGACACCTGCCTCTCCCAGCGTATGAAGGGAGGAGCCTCCTGTCTAAGAGGCAGTGCCTGGGCATTTAGGTATCGCAGGGTCACTCTTAAATCAAAAACGGATTTAGCAGGTCCCCAGTGATTCAGCAGGGATGGAACAATTTAATAATTTTCTTGGCTACTGCCTCCCATTCACCCTGCTCCTCCCTACCCTCATCCGCACCCCTGCTTGCCTTGAGCCATGAGCCAGGCCTCTTGTCTTTGGGGTGAGGGGGCAAAACCACACCCATTTCTGGACAGTGGGGTTTTCTATTTTAACGTTTTACCCGCCGTTTTCTGGCCATAGTGGATCAGTGTCTGAGACAGGATGGAAAAAAGCTGCCATTGGCCTGGTGGAGTCTGTACCACTCTGATCCTTGTCTCATATCCAGGATTAAAAACGGAGATTCAAGAATCAGGCTGAGGTCCAAGGAGGGCACCCGAGGAGACAGGGCTGCCCTTGCCTCTACCCCAACCCACTCGGGGCTGGCAGAGACCTCCAGGAGGGAGTATCGTCACCATTTCTCAAGCCTGTTCTGCAATGGGAATCCCTGCTGGTCCAGGAGGGCGGCTTCCTCCCACTTTGCAGAGAACACTGTTGGTGGTTTCTGAAATGGGCAGCCTGACCGCACCCTCAGAGAAGGCAGGACAGGACAGGGGCTCTGCTGCTCGGTGGGGCCTTGGGAGGAAGTGTCATGTGTGTAAGCGGTTTGGAAGGACTTCCTCACTCTGGGTTCCTTCTCTGCTCTGGGCCCAGCCCTTCTGCAGCTTCCTGCTCCCTGCTATCCTGGCTCCCTGCTATCCTGGCCTTTTTTAGACATCTCCTGTCTTTGCCTTGTTGCATTATAAAGCCTCAAGAGAAGGGATCCAGAAACCATTTGCTCTGAAGTCTTTGGAGAAACTGGGGCTGAGAAAAGAAAGGAAACATGGTCCAGAGCTTGGGGGAGAGGCACCAGGATGGATCCATAACAATCTGGCCTTCTGTGTTCTTCTGATCTGCTAGCCATACCCAGCTTCCCCTTCTTCCCTTCTTGACTAAAATCCGCTTCATCAGATGGCGGCTTACAAAAGAGCCTTTCTTGAAAAGCACCACAATACCTGGGCAGCAGAAAGGTCTGGAACCAACAGAGTGGCCATCAACATCCCCTCCAGCCCAGCGGTCCCTCCATCCTCCTGACTGCTCAGCTTCTGAGGGCTTCATAACACCCCACCCATGCTGTCCCTGCTCTTCACAATCCCCACAGATTCTGCCCAGGTGTTCAGACCCAGGCCACAGGGCAGGGACTTGGCAGTGTCTCCCTGGGGTATACCCCCTTCTGAATACCTCTGGGCTGGGCCCCCTGGGCTGGCACTGGGGTCTCAGCCTTGAATGGGGTCTGACGGCCTCTGCCACTCCACTGCTTCTTGTGGGTTCTGTCAACAGATGAGAACCATCACGACACCACTCCTGCACCTCTCAGCTAAATCCAATTTTCTGAGGCCTCCTCCGGTGATGCTGCAGGAGAATCAGGGGCTCTGAGGGCCAAGACCTCTCTGGCTTTTTTGGTGGTTGCAGGTTTCCAGCATGCAAAGCCCAGCAAGTCCCAGACACCTTCTCCAAGCAAGCCTCCTGTTCTGGGCTGGGCTCCCAGTGACACTGCTTACCCATAGGCACCAGAGCCTTGAGGGAGGACATTGCTCCGCTGAAGAACTCAGAGCCCACAAAGGTGTAGTGTGGCTTGGCCCACCACCACCAGTCAGGAGTGCTCTTAGCAGCCACACATCTGCCCCATGTAGCTAAACTCTCATTAGCCTCTCTGACAAGTTCCTGTGAGTTGGTTTCCCTGAACTTCTCCACCCCAAGCCCCCTTGACAAGCCATGCAAGCCCTAAGAGTACCACATGTCACGAGATAGGCCTATTTGTCCCTTCTGTCTCTCCCTAACTGTGCATGGGATGCTTGCACACACACACACACACACACACACACACACACACACGCTTTCACATGCATGATCAAACACACATGAATACAAACATGCATAGTTTATACTTGTTTACCCACGCATGCATATGTCACACATAGGTGCCATGCATAGGAACATGTAGACACAGGGACACTACTCATATGCATGCATGAATATGCTCACAAAGAATAAAGATAGCCTCACAGACATCTGAACCTCCACCATGGACTGTGGCCCTGCTATCAGTAGCCCTGGTCCCTGTACTTGCGTCCCATGTCTCTTCCAAGTGCTCACAGCTATTATCACGTGTATGGCTCATAGTATAGGGACCTGACTCTCCTCATCTACTCATGGAGCTGAATTTAATGGTACAGGGAACAAAAAGGGATACAGCAGTGGGATTTCCTGGGGCCACCTGATTTATGGTCTTCCTTAGGGAGACACTCTGCTCTCTCTCTGTGCTAGTCTCTCTTCATCTCCTGGCAGTACTCTGTACCCTGGGTGCCCTCTGCCCTTGGCCAGGAGGGGAGCAGGCTTTGCAGACAGGACAGCTGGGGAACATTCTCCAAGCTGAACAGTGCTAGACATCTCTAGCCCCTCAGGCAGCCAGTACCAGTGTGTGTGCTAGACCCCCATGGAGCAAAGACAGGCAGGGCACCTATGAGACCATTCTGGTTCATGCTTTATTTCCTCGGGTATTGTGGACCTGTGAGCCAGGGTAGGGAGCTGAATACTAGGGGTGGGAGGCAGAGAGAGCGTGACCAGCCCCTGCCCCACTGCCTTGGAGACCCCTCCCCCCCTGAGTCCATCTGAGCATTCTATTCATGTGAAGCCAACATTCCAGGAGCCCACCGGGCCAGCAAGATCATCTCACACAGGCGATCACTGTCACATCTAATGAGAAAATGATGACATGGCCCCCTTCTGTAAGCTCCACACCCAGTCCAGCCCCCGGAGCCACACAAATTCTCCTTGCTTTGTGGTATTGCTCTGCTACTGTGGCCCACCAGGTCACTTTCCAGGGACTCCCTGTCTTCTACTCTGGGGCTCTGCAGTCCCTGTGTTGAACTCCACCCCTGACTCCCAGGATCTTAGAACATGGGAGCAGCTGGGGCTTTGGTCACTACAACCCCACTGCACATTAGTAAACTGAGGTTACAGGTTCAAGTGATTCCCTAAACGTTATATATAGCAGGCCACCACCTCCCTCTGCCAGGCAGAGTGGCTCCAGCAAGGCACTGGGCACATCAGAAAGAACATGCTACTTCATGAACCAGGAACGGTTCATTTCTTCCTTTCTGATTACCCTCACGGCTTAGGATGGATGGTCATCCCCATGGCTTAGGATGGCAAGCTGCAGGGAGCCCACACTCATAAGAAAGACTAAAGGACCCAGGGCACAGCCAGATGCCACTGGGAACAGGCTGGTTATTGAGGCAGAAGTCTTAGAGGCCTTCCTGGAGGAGGCAGTGTTTGAACCACAGATGCTTTGGAACTGAAGGGCTATAAATTCATTATCAGATGAGAAAGCTCCTTGGTAAGTATTGCCCCCTGCCTGACATATCTTCCCTTCCCAGGAAACCTACCCCATCTCAGGGCAGCTCTGAGTGGCTTCTTTCATTCTTTCCGAGTTACTCAGCCGCCTGCTCCAGGGCTGTGCTTCAAGGCCACAGTCCAAGTGTGTCCTCCTCCTCCACACAGTAACACTCTTTAGATCAGAATGGGGACTCAAGAGTCTATCTTCTCAAGTTGTGGCTTATCGAAGGGCCTCTCCAGGTCTCTAGAGCTGGTTGCCCTATCCTAGCAGCAGTACGGCACCCAAGCCTGGCACGATAACACAGTGCCCCTGCCTGTTACTGAGGGATGCCCAGAACCACAGAGGATGCCCAGTCACTCCTGAGCTGAGGCATATGCCTACCACCTGCCTCAGAAACCCCCGTGTAGAGTGCTCAGAGTGTGTGTACAGAGAGCCCCACAGTCCTCAGAACCCGACCCTGCCACAGCAAAGGACAAGGGTCAAAGGCAGACTGATTTTTTTTTTCAGGCGGGCCCGACCTGAGGGGCCACGAAGTCACAGAGGACAGAGGGGAAGTATAACAGGCATTCCTGTACGGACCTTACACATCTGTTCTAGAAGCCTCCGTCTTAAGCCCCTGGCATGTCTCAGCTTTTCACAGGAACTCGAGTTCTTAAAATGCAGTCTCTGACTGCTAAGTCCAACTGGTAGAACCTACGAATGCCGTGTTCTAACACACTCCCAGGGAATGCCAATTAGTCCAGAGTTGCACCATGAGCGGTAAGGGGCTGAACTGTCAGGACTCTCCCATGCCGCAAGCTGTTTACTGTATCAGCGGCTGAGCACAACTCATGGTTACTTCCACCTGAGCTGGAAGTCACTGCAAGAAAGCAAAGAACCACTCGCGAGTTCTTACCGTGAGATAACCAATGCGGCTGTTTGCTATTGGTAGAAAGTACTTTCCCTGATTCTGGCTGCCAGCGAATTGACCAAACTTCTTACAGTCAGAGTCTTGAAGAGCAGACTGTGACTGGGTGTGCTATGGGAGGGACCCAGGCTCCATGTGCTAGTATGGTAAGTCTCTTATCCAGAGAGAGATGGTTGGGATATGATAACAAACTGACACCCCTGTCCAGGGAAACATTTTCATGCTCTACACTGGCTTGGACACCAGCCAGCTGAGCACCCCTGCCTACAGACAAGATGGAAAGTAGATCTGTGATGTACCATCATGTAGCCCTGCAGGGCATGAGTGAGGACAGCTGAGACTCAGGACAGGAAGTGGCAGTGTGGGTCTGTGGGCAGCAGAGCCCCGCCTCTTCTCATCGACCAGGAAAGTTTTCCCGGAGGAGGGGATATGGCAGATTGATTTGTTTATCAAGGAAGGGAGGTGGTGTAGAGGACAGTCCAAACAGAAGAAGGAAAAAGGTGGCTTTTTAGTCATGCCAGGCACATACGTGGTTCTCCTGAGGCCTCTTTGCTTTGGCTATGTTTGACTTTGAGAGAGGGACTGGGAGGATGGGATGGGATGTCCCCTGCAATCTCCAGTGACTGCTGTGGGAGTCTGTTTTCTTTCTCCTACCTGAACTCTGAGCAGTGGAGATCCCAGCAAAGCTCTTCTTGCACTATGTACAGATAAGGAGGCCTGAGGCAGTCTGGAGCACCCTGCTGGAGGCAGAGGACTTGGAAGTGGAAAAGCTTGGGGCTCTACAAGAAGGACCCCTACTCCTCCCACCTAGCCAGGGGAGGGGGAGCAGAGCTGAGTGAGGACCTAGCCCAGTCAGCCTTCCGAAGGTGAGGTGAGTGTGAGCACAGGGTGGTGGGACAGAGAGAGGAAAGACCTAAGCAGGCCCCCTGCTAAGAGGCCGTGGGGAAGTGCTGTCTAGTCCCTGTTTTCCCGTTCTTAAACAGGTACACTCAAGTGACCTGAGAGGATAACAGAGAGCATGTTCTAAGGACCCAGCCATCCTTGGAACACACCGACCCCTTCCCAGCCTTTCTTGTGGAAGCCGCTTCAGGCCCCTGACAATTTTCCAGAAAAGGAAACAGGGGATCGCCAGAGGTACAAACCCAAGCTGCGTGCACCATGGGCGGGAAGAAGGGAAGTGCTTGGCATTTTCTGCAAAGGACTGATAGGAAGCAGGTTTACAGGTGCCTAGGCTGAGAGCTGCCCACCTTAGCTGCCTTCAGGGTCTGTGGGCTGCTGACCTGTTGTTTCGTGTGCTGCTCACCCTTGGGGAGAGGGCTGAACTGAAGGAAAGGTCAGGCTCCCACACAATAGGGCCCGGTGTAGAATCAGGACACCCAGCTACACAAGCTCCCAGAACCTCAGGAAACCAGAGGAGATAAGAGGGGCGGGGCTGCAGGAAACTCCACCCATACTCAGCCATGGAGATGTTCTGGAGCACCCACTGCTCCTCCTGGAGCCCCCCTCCCCCCTGCTTCTTCACAGAGCAGCTGAGCACGAAGAAAGGATGAGCATCCTTAGACTCAGTTTCCAAATCTGTCCCCAGGATCACTGAGGCTGCACCCAGCACTTGTCACAGTGGCCTCCAGTCTCATTCTCAGAAGGAATCACTGCTGAGGAGAGAGGCCCAGCTTCAGGGCTCATCATGTGGCCCAATCTCATTTTTCCAAACCAGAGGCCAAAGCCTGGTATAGGGAGGACCAAACCAAAACAGAAGGCATTTCTCCATGTGGCCCAGGAGAGGTCAGAGGTGCCAGAGGGAAAGGGATACACCATTGAGGAAGGGACTCTGGGGATGATGAGACCAGCATCATCCAGGACTCAGCCAACATACACGAGGTCCAGCCAGCCTCATTCTACCAAAACATCCCATATAGTCCCACTTGCATCTCAGGCCCTCTATGCATCTCACAGGAGCAAAGCCAACCCTCCTGAGCACTTCTAGTTGCCAGCTCCACTCTAAGCCCTCTATGGGGTATCCTCACACCAGAGGGGTAACATGTGCCACCATTATTACCATCTCAAGAGTAGAGAAACTGAGGTACAGAGTCAGTTCACTTGGTCGCTTGTTCCCTCATTTGTGTTTTGAGGCAGAGTCTCTCAGAGTGTGGGCTGACCTTGTGTTTGCTTTGCAGCCAAGGACAACCTTGACCTTTTGATCCTCCTGCCTCTACCTCCCAAATGTTGGGATTGCAGGACTTGAATTTAAGGCTTTGTATGTGATAGATACACACTCTACCTACTGAGCTATCCTTCTGGCCTGTGGTTTTGTAATTTAACTCGGTGACACAGAGGGGAGACGGGGGCTAAGACCTGAACCGAGCTCAAAATCATAAAGTTCAAAACCATAAACACGCCAGTATCCCAACTCTCTACTTGGTCTTATAGCACAAACCCCATGATTGGTGTCCCCCAAACCCAGGGTGAATAACAGCAGCAAAAGACAGACTTGGGCCTCTGACCCACCAGAGACCCATCCTGGGGCTGCAAGTTTGACATCTGATGGAAGCTCCTGGTCCTTGGGGGTTGAACATTTTCCACGATGGCTGCTGAAACCCCAACTGGCCAGAGGGGTGTCTCAGGCCCTCAGAACACAGACACAGGAGCACCGAGTATCCCCACGGGAAGAGCCTTGTCCAAGGCTACCGAGGGACTGAGAGCCATTCTGCCCGGCTGTATTCTACCGTGCTAGTCTACAGGAGCCAAGCAATGCTTGCCATCTGGCCCAAGGTCGCCAACAGTAAGGGAAACAATGGGCAGTGCGTCCAGCCATGGCCAGCATCTGAACAAAGGCTTGGCACCTCCCCGACCCGAGGCCCCTCCTTCATGGTTTGCCAAGGCAGGCGAGTAGCGGAAACCTTCATCTGAGCCTGGGAAGTTTTACAGACGATTTCTGGGAGAACTGTGGCTGCCAGAGCAGCCAACAGAGGGGGCAGCTGCTCTAGGCCAAGCTCAGCTTGGCAAGAAGTAGGGGTGACGGGAGGACTTGAATCCAGGACCTGGCTGCACCCACCTGATTCCTAGGCTGCCTCGTTCTCTCCCACCTTGTCCTTTAGCCCCAGCTCTAAAGTTGGTCTCTTGTCTAGGGTCTACTGTCCATATTGTTGACATCTCAGTCTTCTGAGCACAGCATGGAGCTACCACTGCCCTAAAACCTGCTGTGGCTACCCAGTACTCATGCTCAAACTCTGCAACCGACTCGAACTCTTTTTTTATTCCTTTCTGACATTTTTAACCTTCCCATCACCCCTAGATTCCCCAGGCCCCTTCCATCTGAGAGCTATGTCCCCAGAGTATCCTCTGTGCACCTGCTTCCCCCCACACACCTCCAGAGTATCTTCTGTTCCTCACCACCATCTTTCCCCCAGGAACTAGCATTACTCCTTCTCCCTTCGGGAAGCCTGTCTGTCTGCTCCACCCAGAGTCATCCAAGAAAGAATTGGGCTCATGAATGTGTGGGACAGGGGGCAGGAGATCAATTGTGAACAATCCTTCAGAGCAAGGTTCCCATGCACAGCAGCGGCTGTTTACACACTGTCCCCATGTAATTATTAATCATGCTCCAGGTTCTTCCTGTGCTAGGTCAGGAAGGGGCAGGGCAGGGCAGGGCTTAGGGATTGTATTGAACCCAAGTGTCTCAAGCACCCTTGAGAAAGTGATCAGGCTACAGGGAGGTGGCTATGCACTGTGCTTATCACCAAGTTCTCCAAGGCTACCTAGAGAAGTTGGCGTTTGTCAGACTTCTTAGACTCAAAAAGGTCAAGGAAAAAAAAAAAAGTACCAGATAAACACCCAGGATCACTCTTATCGGAGGGGCCACAGGAAAGGCGCCAGGTTTAATCTCAGAACCACACCCTGAGCCAACGGTTTAGATGCCCAGCCCAATGTTCACTGACAGGCTGTTGGTGGAGACAGGCTGTGGGGAGTGACAGGGCAGGGTTTCTTAAAGCCTGTAGCTGTAACCTTCGGCTGGATCAGTACCTGGGGAAAGAAGGAGGGAAGAGCCCTGGGTCCAGGGAGAAGCAAAGCAGCACGATGCCTTAGATGCAGGGCTGCACTGTATGTGTGCACGGTGCATCTGTGTTAAAGGAGAGCCCATTGACCAGGACCCCTGCAGGATCTGCAGTGGTGGCAAAGAAGTCAAGGGCATCATGAGAGTAACGTGGGGGCTTCTCAAGGGAGGGCTCTGGAGCCAACCCATGTGATTGACAGGACATGACGGCTGCAATGGGAGCAGGAAGGCGGGAACCAGCCAGAACAAGGAACACCAAGGAAGGCTTCAACAGTGACAGACTCATGGAGAATCCGCTGCTGTGATTTCAGGTGGATGGAGCTCACTCAGGGCTCGAGGGGAGGTGGGAAGAACACCGGGAGAAGCAAACTGGACCCACCCACCCACCCACCCCCAACAACCTAAGTACTCCAAGAGCCTGCCACAAAAGAAAAGTGCCTCGGTTTCCCCATCTGTGGAGGTAAAGAAGGTCTCTGGTGACTCTCTTGAAGAAAGGCACAGAATGGGTATTTGTGGAACTGGGGACAGGAGAGAGAGAGAGCATGGTCAGAGAGGCCACCTGCAGGCTACGGCCACCACTGAGCCCTCAGCTTGTCCAGTGGGGTCCTGAGCCCTCTCTGTGACCACTAGGGCGACCCGAAGCTTAGACCGCCGCCCCACACAGAAGTCTGGTCATATTACACCTGGCTATGCCATTTACCCGCCAACCCCCATCCTGCAGTGTGCATGAAGCAATCTCCATTATCACACATGCTTGGCATTTTTGCCTGATAATCACACCTCCCACAGCCCCATGAGGGATTAGGGCATGATTAGGGAGGAGGGAAAACTCTGGTAAGTGGAGCCAAACATCTGCCGAAAGACTTGGCCGCCTCATGTGATGGCCTCCGATAACTTTGAGGATCCTCTGAGGGTCTGGTGGACCTGTCAGGACCCTACCCAGGGTCTGTGGTAGCACAGGACATCACCATCTTACCCACGCATGCGCTCCTATGCTGCCTTCCCACCAGTGGCCCCCTGCTCCTGCCCTGTGCACCTGAAGGGAAAGAGACCTGAGCCAGAACTCGAAGCAAATCTCCTTTGCAAGGGAAGGTGCCCCACCTCGGTCCCATATGGGGTCTTTATCTGCTCTCTGCTCCTGACACTGGTCCTCTGGGAACACTGTGACTGCCACAGCCTGTCTGCCCACACTGTGCCTTCCATCTGGAATGATCATTCACTCAATTATTCACTTGTGCTTGAAGGCCCAGGGTAGCAGCTTCCTCCAAGAAGCTCCTTCTTTGTCCATCGGAGAACCTGGCAAGAAGCATCCATCACACAGTGCTGAGACCTGCTCTAAGTGCTTCAGCGTGGGAACTCTCTTCATCTTAGCCAGAATGCTGCAAGGCTGACATTTTATACACGAGACACCAAAGCTCATCAAGTGTAAGTGCTCAGGGCCACATAGGGGTCAGATGGATCCTGGGGCAGCTTCTTCCTCCCAGACCTACAAGGTGGGTTTCCTATGTATCCCTCTGAACTTCACAAAAATCGCAGGCTCTGCAGCAGAGCATTTCAGGCTTGAACGGGTGCACCAATTTAAAATGCAGATTCCGGTTGAGCGGGGTTGGGGTGGAGCCTGGATGAGAAACTCTCAGCAGCGCTGCTGCTCTGAAGACCACTCTTTGAGTAGGAAAGCTAGCATCCAGAACAAGGAAAAGTCCTCTGTTGTCACTGCTGCTTAGCAGAGCTGAAGGCATGTGGTAACTAGGTCTCTTCACTCTTAGCCGACTGGAGGCCCTGCTGCCCATTGGTCCATGCTGGCCCCGTCCCTGTGATACAGAGACACTGGGGGCAAACAGGCCAAGCCTGAATTGGTCCTTACCTCTGGACATGTCTAAGCCCTGGCCTAGTTCTGACCCCCAGGAACTCCTGCTGTCCTGGAAACTGCTCTGTGTGGCACTCTAAGGGAATAGAGCCAATGTCCTACCAAGCCAGCCATCTGGACATGAGTGAAGGTAAGCAGTTTGAGCCCTGCAGTTAGCAAGGGTGTCTTTGTAGAGAGGCAACAGCTTCAAGGACAGAAAGAGATGTGCCCTTGCTCCTAAGGCTAAGTAAGACAGGCCCCAGGAAAATTCCTTGAAAGCTGCTGTGAACCGCAGAGTGTGTCTCCAAGTAGAGCAAGAGACAGAGAACTATGGTTCCTTAACACACAAGTGTGTGAGCATTAAAGATTTTAATACAGGTTGGGAGAGGGCTACGTGCCACAGAAGCCTACCCACTGCATCCCTAGAAAGCAATGTGCCCAAATGGACAGTGCCCACTTATAATGGAAGGAATCACAGCTGAGTCGCCTGAGAAAGTTATGGAAAAAGCCGAGGTACTGAGCACACAGCCAGAGCTGATCCGGTGTGTAGGGGCAAAGCCGTGTGGGGCTTCGTATGGCTCTCAAGTGGAATCCACAGAGAGAAGACTCGGGTGTTCCACAAAGGAGATGGAGGAAGAAGTTGTCCCCCCCAGAGGAAGCTGGCCTACCCAAAGCAGTCGGTAGGGTAACACACACGCACACACACACACGCACGCACACACACACACACGCACACACACGCACGCGCGCGCACGCACACACACGCACGCACGCACATACACACAAGCTAGAGCTACATAGTGGGACCCTGTCTCAAACACACACACACACACACACACACACACACACACACACACACACACACACACCTGCCCAGCATAAGACATCCCGGGAAATGAAGGAGCCAGAGCTGTGTGCCCACTGGTGGCAAAGAGCAGCCTCTAGGATGGCTCTACTATACAGTAAGAAGTGTCTAGCTGACGCCTCTTTTCTGAAAGAGCCAGAGCCAGTGCAGGGTCTGGAGGTCGTGGGGCAAGGCAGGAGAATGAAAGCAGGCTACCACAGCACCCTGTTCAAGAGACCTTCCCAGGGCAAGGGGAGGCCTGTCCTCAAGAGAGCTTGGAGTTAAGTGGTCATTACACTTGTCCCATGTACTCCTCTTCATAATGCCAGAAGTCAACAGTCATGGCCTGTTTGTCCTTCTAGATCAAGGAGCAGACACTAAAGACAGAGGGGGAAGTCAATGGGAAAAGACTGGCCAGCTTATTCAGGACTTTGTCTCTAAGTAGAGAACAGAGACAGAGAATGATGGACCCCTAACACACAAGTGTGTGAGCATTAAAGATTTTAACACAGGCTGGGAGAGGGCTCTGTGCCCCAGAAGCGTCCCCACTGCATCCCTAGAAAACAAGGAGCCCGTGTGGACGATGCCCACTTGTGATGAGGCAGAGCCTCGTGTGTTTCGTTCCTATAGCGCTGGGAGGGTCACTGAGAATGTGTTCTGGCTTCAAAGCCTGGGAGTGGTGGTACCTGGCTCTGCCCACCTTCCACTCCAAGGCATCATCTAAGTATCTGCATCTGGGCTCCTAGAAAAGCAAGCTCTGTGCTTTGTTGGGTTAACCTTCTGCGGCAATGCTGGGAATTGTTTGTTTTCTCTAGCGCTGCCAAAGCGCCCCTGGCAAGGAGACTAAGTGGGTTTCATTGAAAAGATACTTTTCCTCCCCAGGCCGATAAACAAGGCCACTGCAGGGAAACCAACTTCCTCAGCCAGGCACTCTGCAGCGGCCCATCCCTGGCCAAGGAAAACAAATACATAAACATTTCAAGGAGATATAGGAAGCATTTCTACTGGGAACCTGCTGTGAATGGCCACTAAAGTTTACACAGCAAGCCCCAAGGGAGCCTGGTACAGGACACAGCCAGCCCCGCCCTCCCATTCTCCTATGGCATGGCTGACTCCTCCCTGTCGCCCCAAAGATCTGCAGTTGGGACACAGCGTGTGCCCTATCCAGAGAAACACAAGACAAGCTCTGTAGTTGTCCCCACCAAATCCCCAACTCCCTAAAAAGGAGGGCGTATTCTTACAGTAGAGGAAACAGCCCTAGAGCAGCCTGGCTCCTAAACCACATGGGGACACATGGAGGCCAAAGATGGGCTGACATAAAGCATCCACAACTCCCGTATGCCTCTCTTGACACCTGTGTGTAAGCACCCATCTCTTCATGGCCCCTGAGCTAGGGGTGGAGGCACCTGCTGGCTTCATCATTATTTTAGTCCTAGTTTCTTACCTGGATAGCCATATGACAGGGACTTTGAGGGCTGGAACTTTGCCCCAGGTCCCTCTTGTGAACTGCTGTGAGTAGCCCTGGACTCTGGCTTTGATCCAGACACTCCCGTAGTTATGCCCCAGCCTCCCACTGCAGCTTTATCACACTCCTTGATGAAAGTCACAGGATGTACACCAACGTAGTAAGCGAAATGCAGAACATACCATTTTCCCATGCAACCTCTCTCCTTATTCTGCAATGTGAGTACTTCCAAAGCCCTGCCCACTCATACTGGCAGTCAGTTCTCCCCATAGCCATAGGGAAGTCTACACTTGATCCCTCTGCTTATCCTTATCTTCTTGGCTCACGTGCATGGCCAAAAAGTCACTCCCTGGGCAGCTTTCTAGCCCTGCCCATTCCAGCCTCCTTCTAGGCTCACCCCATCCTCATGTGGCCTCATAGGAGAAACAGGTCTCCCTGGTGTGGGCTCTCTAGGGTTTGGGCTACTCTTGGACAGCAGACTACATAGCTTGTATCTTAGACTACGCTGCTCCTGCAGAAAACAGAGAGACCAGGGGACCCAACAAGGGCATCCTTGAGACAAAGGGCAGGGCTTGTCCTCAGATCTTGGCTAGGAGATACTTTGCCTGCTGGGGGGCCTCCACCTCGCTGTCCCACCTTAGCCACGATGAGAACAGATCTGTGCTCCCCTCACACTAATGAACCACAAAGTCTCGGCCGGGGTCATAGACTTGACTTTTGCTTTATGGAAACTGTAGTAACAAGTGTCCAGAGTCCCCAAGGCCAGCTACACCAGAGGCCTTGGAGAGAGGGCTGTCCAGGAGGGATGCAGATGAAAGGCAGGGTCTTTGACGGCCCTCTTGTCTTTGGCAGTCACAGCTGTGTCAGGAGGGGACCTCAGCAGTGCACCGGGCCCTACCACAGCCCTTCACAGAAGAAACTGGAACGCTCTGTATGCTTCTGTGGCCATGCAAACTCAGGCAGGAGGGCTCCTCTGAGAGACTTGACCCTAAGACCTGGGGTCCAGGGGTCATCCCAGGGATGAGTGCTGAAGCCAGAGCTTGATGTATCCAAGGGTCACAGGATGGGGTCTGAGCCATTCCAGCTCACAGATGCCCCCTTCCATCTATGAAGAGAGTGACAGGAGAGTGTTAGAGCTGCAGGGGCCCCGGAAGGAGGCCTTGAGGACTCCACCCTGCCCACTAGATTTCCACTTTGC